ATCCCTCTAACCCATCAGGGCGAGGAGGGGCGGATTTTTTTGACATCACTAAGAAGAAGTTTAAAATTCAGTTAGTTACTTAGTCAGTTGAAGAGTTAATTCAGTTAGATAGTTAGCTGTTAATTCTGTTGATCCAGTTGGTTTTCTTTGTCTATAAATAGTCGAATGTAATGCAGAGTTTTTAGAAAAACTTGAATAATAAATATTTCTTCTCCTTTCTCTTCATCTGATTATGCTATTTCATTCTCGAATTTCTACACTCGTGATTGCAGGCTTCAATGTAATCTGAGTTGATGAATTTTACATGGTATCAGACCTTTTAACAAATTCTTCCATTCATTTATCAACACTTCACTTGAAATATCTCAAACCAAATTAATTCTCTTTTCAATCCTGCTCATGATCCAACCAGCCATTATTATCTACATCCTAGTGACAATCCTGGTGCACTGATTATTTCTGAAATCTTCAATGGAGACAATTACACCTCTTGGAGCTGCTCAATTTCCATAGTGTTGAGTGTGAAAAATAAATTAGGTTTTATTGATGGATATTTGGAATCTCCAAGCCCATTATCTGGTGCTAATACAATTGTTGGGTTTGTGCAAATGATATGGTTCTATCTTGGATATTAAATTCAATCGGCAAAGATATTCGCCAAGTCTGTTATACATCTCCTCTGCATATAAAGCATGGAATGAACTCAAAACCAGGTACATTCGAAGTGACGGACCTAGAGTCTATCATTTAGAGAAATGCCTCAGTTCCATTTCTCAAGGATCACAAAGTCTTACTTTGTATTACAACTCATTCAAAGCTATATGGGAAGAATATATCAACTACAAACCCCTGCCTAAGTGCAGGTGTAAAAAGCTCTCTAGTTGCACCTGTGATATATTGAAAAATATATCAAACACTCAGCAATCAGATGATGTCATGAAGTTTCTTATTAGATTGAATGAATCATATTCTACACTTAGAAGCCAACAGTTGTTGGCTTCTCCACTTCCATCATTGGCTCGAGTTTATGCCATATGCTTCAAGAAGAGAGTCAAATGGATCTACAGAATTACTCGCCACCAGAATCAGTTGCCAAACAGCAAGGCAACCTCTTAGAATATTCAATAAACCTCCCCCTTGGAAGGACAAGAAGAAGCTAAAATGTACCCATTGTGGATAGCCTAATCACACTGCTGATAAATGCTTTCAACTCATAGGATATCCTCCTGGCTGATAAGGACCTAGAGGTCCAAGAACCATGGCTTATCCTGCTGCTCATGCTGTAAGCCTAGACCAACCTGCAGAAGATAAGAGACCAAGTATTTCATTCAATCAAGATCTCTTTCAACAATTCTTGGCATTTGCGAAGACTCACCAAACATCCTCTCAATCACCTAATACAGCACCTTAAACAGCAGCCACCATTACCACAGGTATTTCTTTCTGTAATACAACTTATTCCAAGCCAAAAACTATTACCTAGATAATTGACACATGTACAACAGATCATATGGTATGTTCACCTATATTCTTTACTTCTATTAACTCAGCCACAACCACCAAAGTTCAATTACCAAATGGTTCTTCTGTTCCAGTCAGCCATATTGGAAAAGTTAAAATTTCTGATAGTCTTCTTCTTGAAAATGTCCTGTGTGTCCCTTCTTTCTCATTTAACTTGATATCAGTCTTAAACTAACTAAATTTTCTAATATTCATGTAATTTTCTCTGCCTCTCATTATCTTATCCAGGATCTAGCCAGCATGAAGACGACTGGTTTCGCTAAAGAAAAAGATGGCTTATATTACTACATGATTGCTCAAGACAATATTGCACCTCTACCTGTTACCAATAGCCCCACAACACATGTCTCAGCTCACAATTACAATCTCAGGAATTGCAGACTTGGACACATTTCCAACACCAGAATGTCCAAGATCCCATGCATTCCTTCTAATATTCCTTGTAATAATTTACATAAATGTGAAATTTGTCCCCTAGCAAAGCAGAAGAAGCTACCCTTTCCAATTAGTAATTCAGTATCAAATAAAATCTTTGATTTAGTTCATTGTGATATTTGAGGTCCTTTCCATGTGCCTTCTTTTAATGGTTACAGATTTTTCCTCACTATAGTTGATGATTATTCTAGATACGCCTAGGTTTTTATGATGCAATCTAAGTCTAAAACTCGTAGCCACATAAAGAACTTCTATCAAATGGTCATTACACACTTTAATGCCAAAATAAAGACCTTTAGAACTGACAATGGTGCTGAGTTTCTCATGTCAAAATTCTATAATTCTTATGGAATCCTTCATCAAAAAAGTTGTGTTGAATCACCACAACAAAATAGAATTGTAGAGAGAAAATACCAATACATCATATAAGTAGCTAGGGCCCTTCCTTTTCAATCAAATGTCTCTCTCATCTTCTGGAGTGACTGCATACTCACAGCAGTGACATTATTAATCGGATACCATCTCCAATTCTTAACAACAAAACCCATTATGAGCTGCTCTTCCAAAACCCACCAGACTATGATCACCTCAAAACATTTGGTTGCTTGTGTTTCACCAATACACTCAGCAATCATAGAACCAAGTTATCTCCCTGTGCATATTCCTTGGTTATCCTCTTGGATACAAAGGATACAAGGTATATGATATACAAAATCACAGAACATTTGTTAGTAGAAATGTCATCTTTCATGAATCTTCTTTTCCTTACAAAAATTCCTCACCCCACTCAGCAGCAGAACCTCACATATTTCCTATTCCTAAACCATACTTTGATTATTCCTATCCTCATACACCAGCAATAAACCAATCAGCAGAAACCAGCAATAGCCAGACCCAAGTTAACACGATCCAATGCCTGATCATGCGTCCCATATTTCCTCACCAGAGAATGGTTTAATTGCTCTTCAACCCCCTTCCCAAAAAATCTAGAAAAGTAAAGCATCTACCCTCATATCTGGATGACTATCACTGTGATTTACCACCTTCTTCCATTGCAATCCAGTCTTCCATAATGCTGGCTATTCTATCTGCTTCAGGTAAATCTTTCTCTCTTTCTCATTTTATCTCTACTGGTAGACTTTTTCCCAAACACAAGGCATTTGCTACCTCTATTTCAAATGTTTTTAAACCAAAGTTTTATGGCTAAGCTATCAAATTTCTACATTGGCGGCTGCCATGAATTGTGAAATTCAAGCTCTTGAAAAGAATAATACTTGAACCCTCACTCATCTGCTACCTAATAAACACACCATTGGTTGCAAATAGGTCTACAAAGTAAAATTCAAAGCAGATGGTACTGTGGAAAGATACAAGCCACGGTTGGTTACCAAAGGATATACTCAACAAGAGGGCCTGGACGTTTTTGACACCTTCTCCCCTGTTGCAAAGTTGACTTCTGTTCGAGTTCTTTTACCTGTTGCAGTAGTGAACCATTGGTTTTTGCACCAGTTAGATGTTAAGAATGCTTTCCTTCATGGTGATTTACATGAGGAAGTCTACATGGAACTGCCCCAAGAATATCCCGGTCCTAATCCCTCACTTGTTTGCAAATTAAATAAAAGTCTATATGGCCTCAAATAAGCACCTCGCCAGTGGTTTGCTAAACTTACTTCTAGCCTTATCTCATATGGTTTTATCCAATCCAAGTCTGATCCGTCTTTATTCCTGAAATCTACCACTAATTCTTTCATCATTCTCTTGGTTTATGTTGATGACATTCTTCTTGCAAGCAACAATCTTCATGAAATTCAAGTTCTCAAACATTTCTCGGATGATTATTTCACAATCAAAGATCTTCGTGAACTAAAATACATTCTAGGTTTGGAGGTTGCTAGATCAAATCATGGAATCAACCTCTGTCAAAGAAAATATGCCTTAGACATCCTTGAAGACTCTGGCTTCGTTGGTTGCAAACCAGTGGCATTTCCTACGGAATCTACTCTCAAGCTCAAATTAGAAGTAGCTAACCTCATCTATAATCCATCAGTCTATAGAAGGCTTATTGGTAGATTAATATATCTCACCATTATAAGACCTAACCTGGCTTACTCTATACAAGTTCTTAGTCAATTCATGTCCAAACCATCCCAATCTCATCTAAATGCTACTTGCAGAGTTCTTAGATACATTAAAGCTACACCGGGTCAAGGCTTATTATTTCCTTCCAAATCCGATTTACACCTCAAAGCCTACAGTGACAGTGATTGGGCCGGTTGCCTGGACACTAGATGAAGTGTTACTGGTATTGCCATTTCTCTTGGAGAATCCTTAGTCTCCTGGAAATCCAAGAAGCAAACCACCATTAGCAGATCTTCGGCTGAAGCTGAGTATAGAGCTTTAGCATCCACAACCTGTGAAATCCAATGGTTACTTCATCTTCTCCATGATTTGACTATCACTCATCCTCAACATGCACTTTTATACAAAAATAGCAAATCAGCTCTTTCAATTGCTACAAATCCTATCCATCATGAAAAGACCAAACACATTCAAATCGACCGCCATCTCGTTCGAGAAAAGTTACATTCTAGTTTAATCAAGATCATCCATGTTCATTCTCATCATCAACTAGCAGACGTTGTCACTAAACCCTTTGGCTCAGCCATGTTTCACACCCATATCTCCAAGATGGGCATTTTGAACATTCATACCCCTCTTGAGGGGGACTCTTACAATACAGCATTAGTTAGTCAATTGGGGAGTTAATTCAGTTAGGTAGTTAGCTATTAATTCTGTTGATCCAGCTGGTTTTCTTTATCTATAAATAGTCGAATGTAACGCAGAGTTTTTAGAAAAACTTGAATAATAAAAAGTTCTTCTTCTTTTTCTTCATCAAATTATGCTCTTTCATTCTCGAATTTCTGCACTCGTGATTGCAGGTTTCAATGTAATCTGAGTTGATGAATTTTACAAGAGCCACAGCCTGGATATACTCCTCATCTACTGGAACATTCCCACTTGAGAGTGATACAAGAGACCTACGTCTAGACCCAAGCCCCTCCTCCTGATGCCGATATTTTTTTTAAACCTCCTTCATTCTTTCTATCTTCACCTTCTCTCTCAGACCATTTCCATGCTAACTGGCAACTGCTAACCACCACCAATTCAGATGCTACTGACTGCTTCTCCTGCATTAATGAGAGTACTATGGTGTCTCATTCTTAGCACACCTTCGTGGGATTGAGGCGGGATCATATCTTTCTCCAAGCTTGTAGTTTGACGTGAGATTAATGGGCTCTACAAATTGTTGTCAGAGTCTACCCCACCCTCTAATGAATAACCATCACCTTCCCTATGCAGACTCTCTTCATCCCACTCCTCATTCTTAACATGAGGCTCTGCTGTACTGATAATGCTACCAAAATTTGGAAATAATATGCTTCGCATACTTCCCATTTCAGGCAGTTTCTCATGTACACTGCCTAATAGTGTCGTAAGAGGATCCATAAGAGGCACACTCTGATTTACCATGCTTCCTTGTCAGGACACAAGTGCAAGACTACTCTGTCCAGTAACTGGTTTGGCAACCCATGAGAGACCCTCCTCAGGTCCATACAACTTGATATGGTCTTTATTAGTAGATGGTTCATGATCACCGTCAAATTCATCTGTCGGACCAATGTACTCTTTTATGGATGTCTCACCACCAACATCCAGACCTTTAACTTGTAAAGCCATCTCACCTGTGAATGAAAGTAACATAGGTAAAATCCATGTGATAATCCATTTTTAAATTTAATTAAATACCTTGACAGAGATCTATCAGGACCATGATTATTGATATCTAGCAGGTTATTGTAAATCAAAACAAAAGGAAAGCCTTGTTCCCAAAAACTTGGGGCCGGTTACATTAATTTTTTTTCATCACTCCTTTCAATCTATCATTGCATGTACCGAGAGGTCCAATGCAATCAAATCTTTTACAACTATCACTTTTCTCAATTCAAATATACCTCTCCCTCTTCTAATCCATCCCACATGGATTGCATAGTTGTTGTGAAAGAGAGCTTGTTTAGCTCTATGCTAGGCATGCTCCACCATCTACGGAGCCCTTACTTTATTGTCTAGAATAAAAACTCGTTTCTTATTTTATCCATACTAGTGCACATTCATCTTGAGATCCAAATTCTTAATACGTTCATTTAAACGACCCAATACTCAATACCATAAAGCATAAATAATTCAATAAACACTACACAGAACTTGCTTTGAACTTGGCAGATATAGTCGAATCACATAGAATCTCCATGAAATTTATCCATCTTTTTAACTCGAGCTAATTTTGTGCGCCAACATAAACTTAAAACATTATCAACTTCACTATCATCATAATTGCTACTATGACTAAAAGAACATTCTACGTATTCCATTGTACTTCCTCTTAACCTAAAACTTTTAAACTCCAAAGTAATCATTTAGGTTTTAACTTATGATTCATCGTGTCTTAGTACATTTTTGGGCTATTTAAATTATAAAACGTTAGAAATGAGTGATGGATAAGTGAGTAGTGGGTCCTACGAAATGAGTGGAGAGTTCGACTGATTATAAATAGTGCTAAACAAGCTGTGAGTCTCATCAACCAATAACATAAACTAAGAGACCTCGTCTTAGATATATCTTATAAGTTCATCTATCACTAAAGCAAAAAAGTTGACTCAATGTGGAAACATAGTGCTTTAAAATTTTATACCATTAACCCCACTAGTCACTAGATATGACATTCGTGATTACTCTATGACATGTAACCTTAATAATATCAAGAATGGGTCGGAAAAAAGAAGTAAATACATATTGCCACATATGAAGACGAGTAGAGAAAGAAGGATAAACATGATTTTTTGCAATCCTTTCAGTAATTTCTTGGTAGATTCTGTTCATCATCCCAAGAGTTCTTGCAGGATCAGTGGTTAATAATATCATGTTTATAAGTTGGAAAAGAATTTAAGTTGTAACGCACAAAGTAAATGAATTAGGAACCAAAGTAACCGAAAATTGACAAGCTGAGATATCTAACTAGTAATCTGTTTTTTTAAATCTTTGGAATGATTGAGGTGTCATTATCAAACCATGTACCATATAAACTATGAAGCAGTATACTAACCTCCCTAGGGCATAGCTCAGTGGTGCAAAAGATAAGAGTGAGGTAGTCTCAGTTAAGCTGGTAGCTGCAATATGAGGGTTCGAATCCTACCTCTTACAAGGTATGAAATTGGACTCTTTGTGGGTACCAGTATGGCAGCTCTTATACCCTGGTCTGTTGAGGCACATCCCGCGATTTACCTCCTCCACAATGCTCTAGGGGCGGGGCATTGAGGGGCCCTAAAGGTTGGGGTTCAACCTTTTTTTTATAAAGCAGTATACTACTAAATAAAAAGCATAGGGTATTAACCAATCGTGCTATTGAACCTAATGTGCCATGCATCATCGTCTGACTAGGTTTCACCAAGTAAAGAGTGTATAGACACTAGCAACTCTTTGTTCGCTACAAGTACTATAAAAATAGCTAATCTGCGCTAACAAATAAAAAGGTATTAGATTCCAAATGACATCATCTTCAATTTTCGATACATGGTACAGACAAGGGGGAAAGTTAAAAAAATAGGAATTGAAACCATTAGGTGCAAGAGAGAGAAGACAGGGGACTGACTCAGACAATTAGATTTACAAGTCAAGACGAGGACAGTTATTTCCAAATCCATCAGGATATAGTGCAAGCGATGGTCTAAAAATGTGAAGCTCCAGGGAAATATCCAATTTCAATAAATTACATGTTTTCGAGCGTGGGCATGAATGAAAGAAAAAGAAGGCAAACACTTGTTAACAATAGGTCATACACACGTCGTCCATTAATTCAACCACAGTACATGCAGAATCTGCGTAAGTTTGAGTTATTGAACATCAAACTGCATGCAGAGGTCTAACAGTTCAGGGTTGTCATAAATACTAAATATCACAACACAACAAATATCTGATTCTATTTGGTTTTCATTACTCAGCGGAAGCCATCAAAATTTCTACCTACTAAAACCAAATAAATACTGCCAGAACAAAGTTTTTCTTCTTTCGATGTCACTAAAAAAATAAATAATGCAAGTTATTAGACAAAAAATTTACCTAATAAAACAAAATAAATCATGGCACAAGACACATTCTTTTTGCAATAGCTTATGAAGATATACCAAATTTGAGGTTTTACAGAACCACAGCTTGAATAATGTTAAGCCTTCACTAATTTAAACACACAGCATCATTTAATACCTTCTAGAATACAGTTGTACAATGATAGCCAAGCTTAGAGATGAAGTTGCTAAATCAACAAACAAGAATTAATCAATCACAGAGAAGTAGATTTATAAATGTACCCAAAACATCTTCCTTGCCACACAGTTTCTGCAATACTTGTTTCCCCTCGAGCATCCTTCATTTACTTACAAGCCATCGAGGAGATTCAGGCAAAAATAGTACTGCTAATACAAAATATGTGAGAGAAGAAATAGATAGAACTCCTAACATCAATCGCCAGCTAGGCGAGAGCATCAAGGACATTCCAAAAATCATAAAATATGCTAAAAACATACCGCTAGAGCCAGTGAACTGAGGAAGAGTATTTAACGAGCGTCGTATGTCTGATGGGGCAGTCTAGAGTGACAGCTATGATCAAAATCAGAATATCCCATGATCTCCAATTGGTCTGATTTTCTGAATGTGATCATGTAATCCTTAGTTCTTTGTAAATACCGAATAACCTAATTGCCTGCTTTCCAAATATCCATCCCAGATTTATTTAGATATCTGTCTAGCATTCCAACAATGAATGCTATATCCAAATGTGTGCAAACTTAAGCATACATTAAATTCTCAACTGCTAAAGTATAGAGAATTTCTTGTATTTCTTTTCTTTAAATTCATCCTTAGGGTATTAATTGAGATTAAAGTTGTCTCCTTTAGAAATAGGGGTATCATTTGATTTTCATTCTTGCATCTCAAATATTTTAAAAATCTTATCGATACAGCTCTTTTGTGATAATCCAAAAATACATAGAGAACGATTCTAGTGTATCTATATCACTGACACAAAAGAGGTGTCACTACGATCTTTCATTTCAAAATTCCATAACATAAATCTCTTGGTTTCGTGCAAAATAAGTCTATAACATTGTAGACAAGCAGTATGTCACCGACATACTATACCAAAAAATATGCTTATTTCCACTGAATTTGTGATATACACAATCATCAATTGAATTCATCTAAAAACCAAACAAGATAATTATTTAATGAAATTTGTAATACCATTAACTGGAAGCCTAATTAAACTCATAGATAAATTTCTTTAATTTGTAAATTATCTGACGTAGCTTAAGATGAAATGTGTCACAAATGCCCTAATAGTTCTAAAATAGTCTTTCATAGAAATCGGAGAGAAAGTCCCTTTAATGTTAATGCCTTCATTTTGAGTAAAGTCATTAGCAACAAGACGAGTCTTATATCTCTCCACACCACCCTTTAAATCCCTCTTTATTTTAAACATCTATTTACAACCAATGGGCTTCACACCTTCAAAAAATGAAATAAGTTCCAAAACGTCATTGTTACTCATGAATTTCATCTCTTTATACATGACATCAATCCATTCTTGAGAATTTTTCATTTGCATGGCTTGATGAAAGTTGATTGATCATATCTTCTTCCATCAATCCACGTCATCCTTATTTTTTTGGAAAAGGACTATAAAGTCATCCGAAATTCTCTTTCTCCTTTTTTTATAAAGTGGATTTCTTTAATGACATTTGTTCTTGATGTTGTTGAGTTTGTTTTTCTGGAACAACCTCTTGATTGTCTATAAGGGACTTTGTAATATTATTTTGATCCAAAATTGCTTCTTGAACAAGATCTGGAGCAAGAATTTGTCCCTGAACCAAATCATTGTCAATTGCAACAGAAGGAATATATAAATATTCTTCATCCAAGACAAAACATAACCTTATAACCTTATCTCCCCTCACAAACTCTACATAC